CCTGTGTTATTATGGGATGGTTGGTGGAAATGGGTTCTTCAGCATGAGGATCTCAGGTCCGGTTTGTTCATGAAGAGACACAGAGAACAGAACTGTTCTGCTGACCGTCTCTGACCCACAGCGGAGACATCCATCCGTCTGTCCAGATCAACCAGAGACGGACCTGCAAACGGACCGGGATCATCTGGACCCAGGAAGTTTTAAATCAGCTTCAGGTTCATGTCTGAACTTCTGAGGTCAAAACAGTAAATTACATAAATAAACAGTTTAATACTTCAGTCGAACACAAGATGGAGCCAGTTTACTGTTAATAAAAATAAAATCTTTACTCAGTTCCTGACAAAAACACTCATTAAAGGGAAATATGTGGGATAAAAGGTGATTCACATTAAACTGAGTTTATAAAACCTGCTCACTTTCTGTCAGCTGTGTAGATCCATGAAGGTTCAGATCCACTGAAGTTTGTTCTGCTAAATGTTCACATCAACACCAAGCAAAGATTTTTATTTCATAAAACAGGAATCCTTTCTCTGTGACAGGATCAGGAAAATGATGTTTCCTGTCAGGTTGTTCTTCACTTCCTGAGCTGCTGACGACATCAGGAGGCTCATCTAGAGATGAATTATAATGTTTAACAGGGAGGTTCTGCTGTTTGCTCTCATCATTATAAGAGCAGGAAGGAAAATAAAGTGACTTCAGAACCTTTTCTAACACGTTGAGATCCAAACGGTTTGTGATCTGAACCATCCGACCGTCAGTGAGAGGAAACAGCAGAAACTTTCTGACGCCTGGCAGCTGGTTTGGGTTCTGCAGAACTTCCTGTGTTAGAGCGGCAGGTCAGACTGACATCTGATAAACTTTATTTATTTATGCAGCTCCTGAACCTCAAACCGGCCAACAATCTGAGAATAATCTAAACTGAAGCTGTAAAATTAGACCAGAGTGTTGAAACCACTTCCTCTGCTTTAAATGACCTCTGATGTTTGGCCTCTTGTAAATGTATTTTCACATTTTAAACAAACTTAAATGTAAAAATGTGAAACATTTTTGTTGGTTTTGAACATTAATTAATTTCTCATACTCCACTCGTGTGTTTGGATTAGAAACAGACCCAAAAGGAAAAACGAACTGATGTTTATTAATTACTTTATTGCATTTAGTTCCCACATCAGGATGATGATGATGATGATGATGATGATGATGATGATGATGATGATGATGATGATGTAGCTGCAGCAGCTGCTGAAGCTGAAGTTTCTGAACAGAGCAGAATCATGATGTGACTGAGGTCTGATGCTGTGGTTGGTTCTGCTGGTTCTGGTTCAGGTTCTGGTTCTGGTTCTGATGTGGCTGAATGCTGAACAACAGGAAGAGCCGCGCGGTTTCCCCAGCAAAGGAACCTGCAGCAGCTGCAGCAACTGCAGCTGCTGCAGCATCAGACTTTAGCTGCTGATTCTCTGACTCAACCTTGAAGCTCACCTTCAGCTGCCACCAGAACCAAAGTCCATCAGAACCAGTCGGACCGGAGGCTGCAGCCGGTTACCTGGAGTCCATCGGAGAGAGGACTGCAGAGCAGGAAGTGATGTCATCATGGTGGTTTGTCTGTGGGTCATGTGACCTCCTAACGTCCAGATCAGAGCTGATCTCAGTCTGAGTCTCTGCTGCTGAAGACGAGATGGAGACGCTGCTGACAGCTCTGATCCGTGAGTTACAGCCTGGTTCTGGTTCTGGTTCTGGTTCTGGTTCTGATCCTGAATGTTTCCTCAGGACCAGTTTTCAGTAGAATATATCGATAAATTACTGTTTTATCATTTTCTGCAGTTTCCTCTGCGTTCAGCTAAAATGTTAAAGTTTTTAACATTTTCATGAAGCTGTAATTTGGTTTTGTACAAATGAAAACTGATAAAATGACATTTAAGTCCAACTGTTATCTTAAACTTTGTGAATGTTGATGAAAACATTAATCACTGAATGTATGAATGAATGTAAACTATTTCACTAAATCTGTTAATTCAGTCAGAAAGTCACATTTGTTACTGTAGAATCTGAAGTTTTCATGAACAGTAACTGAATATTCTGTCCTGAAAGGAAAACCATTTCTTCCAGTGTTTTTACAGTCGTCATCATTACATTTAAAGGGGCAGTATTATGTGTTTTCTAGGCACATGGAGGCCATTTTACAGCATAATCAGGTTTCATTTGATATAAAAATGAAATATATCAAATATGACTTAAAAAATGTTACTTCCTGACTTATTACTTGAAATTGGGCCTCTGTCTCTTTAAAAGCTCCTGCTCTTCCTGAAGCTCCGCCTCCAGGAAGTCGTCACAACAGGCTCCTCTATTAACCCTTTAACGTTTTTACTAGCGTTGCTCTGAGCTGCAGCTCCTATAACGAGCTCAGCAGCTGGTTGCTAATTGCTGCTGGCTAGTCTGAAGGAGCTGTGTGGGGAGGAGCTCCCTCCTCTCTGTCCATCTTCCCTCGATCCGTCAGACGCCTGGGAAATGAAACCAGCAGGTCCAGAACTGGACTGGACTTCTGCAGAGTCGACAGATTATCTGTCCTATAGAAAACTGAGGAAATGATGAAGGTCTAATAAATTTCATTAAATATTAAACATTAACACAAATCATATTATTTCCTTTCTGTTGTCCAAATACAATATATGTTTTCTAAATATGATGTAATTTTTATCAAAATGAGTCAAAATTTAATTGTTCAAACCTGAATTTGCTTTTATCTTTTAGACAAAAACATTTAATGATATTTCATCTTTAATAAAGACATTCAGGTAAATATTTTCAATCTGTGTTTTCCAGTGACTCTGGGATTATCTGCTGGACAGGAAGTGAAGGAGAATCTGACAGGAACCGTTGGAGGAACCGTCACTCTACCTGGTGCTGTCACAGAGACAGAGACAGGATTTCTTTTATATGGAAGAACAATCATTGCTTCAGTGTCTAACGGTGGACTTAAAATTATTGTTAAGAACATTTACCAGAACAAGCTTCAGTGGAACCGAAGCTCTGGACTCTTTAAGATCACAAACCTGCAGAGGAACGACTCAGGAATCTACACAGTTCAAAGAGGCGAAATTTCTTCTTCATATAATCTTCAGATTTATGGTAAGTATTTTTATTTAGGTATTTCTCTGATTGTCCTGATGGAATAAACAAAGTCTGAGCTCCATGTTAGTAATTATCATAATCTGAGATTAAATCAGTTCTAAATGTTTCTCTTCTACTAACAGATTTTAACTTTCCCCAGCAACAGATTAAAATTTATGAATTATTGTTTTCATTTCACAGATATTGTTAAAATGTATTTTACCAATAAAAATGAACACAGGAGATGAGATGATAAACTGAAACGCTCTCATGAAACGTCTGGATAATAATGTAATCAGATCTTTGTTAGTGGAGTTAAATATATTCTCTGCAGATCCAGCACCGACTCCTGCAGTAACAGCTGTTGATGTGACCTCTGACCTCTGCCTGTTGACCTGCTCTGTGGACAAACCAGCGACTCTGCTGTGGATCAGAGACCAAGAAATACAGAACCAGATCCGCTCTGCTCTGTATTTAACTGTTACTGTCTGTAAAGAGGATAGAGCTTCATCATATAGATGTGCAGCAGCCAATCCTGCAGAGAACAAGACTGTTGATGTTAATGTGACGATTCTCTGTGGATTCAACGAGACAGAAACTCTGAATGACAGAATATCATGTGAGATTTACCACCGACTGTTAAACATTCTCTTATTTTGTGATAGTTTCTCTTTCATTTTAATATTTGTTTTGTTCCTGGTGACAGATTGGATCCCAGTTGTTGTCTCAGTCGTGGTTCTAATGTTTGTTGCTTTTGGAGTCTGGATGGTCAAACTGAAGTTTCTGGGCCGAAAGGAACCAGCAGGACAAACACAGAACAGGTTCGTTATTATTAATTTAAATATTGGAGACTATCAAACAGTCTCTGAGTTGTAGAGAAGCTGAGTAAGTGAAATTAATGTTGACATTTCTACTGTTCAAAACTCAAGTCCAAACTTCGGCTAAAGATTCTTTATTTGGCATCAAAACCTTTGAAATCCAGTCAGAGAATCAGTTCATCAACGTCCAACAGCAGCAGGTCAAAGCAATAATCCATAAGAAAATATCAAATGGGAGTTTTCCTCTCCACTGTCGCCACATGCATGCTCAGTATGAGGTTCTGCTGTAAAGTCAGACTGCTGGGTTTCTTTAGATAGAAACTTTTTCCTAAATTTAATAAAGAACTAAACTTTCTTGTTCTATTTCTAGGATAAAATTGGAAATGATTTGATTGAAAGAACTGTGATATTTATGTATTATTTATAATATCCAGATTATCAGTAAATAATCTGAATATTTATTAAGTCAATATGGAAAGTGTAGCTCTATAATAAAATAAAACATATTTAATCCAGGAAATGTAAATCCTCAGTTGTTAAGACAGAAACAAAATCAGTTTTATTTCTGTTTAAAACCCAGAGGTTCAGTTTGTCCTGCTAACGTTAAAAAGAAAACTGAACCCTGATCAAACATCACAGCCCACCGCACACACCTCCATATTGTCCCTACTGACAGACAATCTGTGCTAACAAGGTAAAGATGCCACAAACTTTTTATTGTTCTCTGATCAAAAGATTCTTTTGAATACAAAATATTCAGAACTACAGCCAACATCAAAGGATTTGTAAATTTAAAGAACAAATTTGAGGATACATTGTTAAACTGAATATAATATTTATTAAATCTGTTGTGTTTTTATGTTTTCAGATCAGGATATTCGTCTCCTCCAGAAGTTTCTCCTCAGGAAAATGATCCAACATTTACAACAGTCATTTATAGAACCTGAAACCAGGAAAAACCTTTAAAATGTTCCTGTTTTTAAATGTTTTATTTTCTCCAGTTTAACTTATTTTGGTAAATTAACTGAAGTTTATGGAAAACAAACTTTGAGCTGAACTGTAGAGAAAACAGATGCAATAAAATCACATTTATTTCTATAGAATATTTATGAACTTTTATGACAAACTGCTGCTGGCCGAAGCAAAAGATTCAAACTGAAACAGTCAGAAAAACATAGAATCACATCAAACAGATCTGCAGATAATTCTGGGTTTCCTCAGTGGGTTTCTGATGATTTGTTTCTGTTCCCCTTAACGCTCTTTAAAACGAGACGTGTCTCAGTTTAATTTAGATCTAGAAATAAAATAATTGTTCTTTTTTCTTGCATTCAAACTTTAATGTTTTTATATTTAGGGGTAACAGTTCATCCCAGATTAACAGTCTGGATCCGAACAGGAAGCCTTTTGTCCCCAATACAGACCTGCAGTGACTCCTAGTGGACAGGAGGAGAAACTTCATTACCGTTCAGTGATGCACAAACAGCAAATTACAACAATAATTTAAATGTTCAGGACAAATCAACAAACAATGTGAGGAATAAATCAGAAGGGAGTAGGAAGCTGATTTTGCTGCTTTTTAAATAAAGTTTGTCATTAAGCAGACTTTTAGAAAAAAGTTCGATGTTTCTCTGATTTTGAGAAAATTATGAACAAAAGTATTAAATTCTACCAAAGAATCAGAAAATCAGGATTTTACTCTGTGTGTTTTTCTCACCTCTGGAATATTTAAGTTTAGAGGAACTGGAGTTAATATTAATATATCAGATTATATAATGTGCAGAAAAACTCCTGACTGGATGAAGGAGTTTCATGATTTATATAATAATATAATGTGATTAAACTTTTACATTTTAGAATGTGATTAATTTAATGTTTCTTTATTTTGTTTTCTATGGAAGGAAAATGAAATAATAATAATTTCTTGTTTTTTACTGTTTTTTGTACTTTGTGACGCCTCTTCACATTGTGTAACTCAAAATGTTTTAATGTAAGTTCAGCAGTTCCACCAGAGGTTTGCTAATTTCTGCTGGCTAGTCTGAAGGACCTGGGGGGGAGAGGGGGGGGGTTCCTCTGAGTCCTCTGCCTTTTCAGCTGTTAGTTGCGATTAAAATATTTATGAAACATGAAGGAATGAAGGGAAAAACCCCAGATGTGTCTTTGATTAATATAAATGAAGAATAAGATTATAACATGAAAGGTGAAACCGGTTGGTTTAACCTGATACTGGCCCTTTAAATGAACGGATCCTCTTGGTGCTTTAGCCTCTATGGAACAGGTTCAGTAAATTCTGGAGTATTTGGGCCAGAACTCAGGGATGTTGATGAGATGTGGAACTGCAGCAGGATTTCTGTCCTGTTTGTTTAGTCAGCATCTGTTTCTCCACATCATTCAGCAGTTAAAGCTTCTCAGCACTGAGTTTTTCATCCCTGCTGAAGCTGCAGAGCCTCTAATGACACCTGGAGACACAAACACCTGCAGACAGAGCTGAGACTCCAACACAAACAAAATAATTATGACATGAAGAAACTCCTGATATGAAACATGGTGAAATAGTTCAGGATGTTTTTGTTCCTTTGGAAACTAAAACTCATCTTTTCACATAGAAATGAATATTTCAGCCTTTTTTCTGGTTCTGGATCTCAGAGAAGAAAAACAAACATTTAGTGTCTGGGGAAAAGGCGCCCCCTGGTGGTGATGCCTCATCATTTCTAAGACCTAAACGGTAAGAATGACTTATAATCAGTTTTATTTTTCTGGCTCTGCTGCTGATTCTTTGACATTATGAGATTCTTCCAAAACTTTGTAAAACCATTTCTGATCAGTGATGTCAGCGACTCCATTTGTTTCTATCAAACCAAACTCGTCTTTTCCTCCTCGGCTAATTAAAACTGAACAATGAAATAAAAACTGATGGAAGTGAAACTAAAAGCAGCTGCAGACAGAAATCAGCAGGTTTCACTCAGACCAGGATCCAAACTCTGAGGTTTGATTTAATGTTTCACTTTTAGTTTGATTCTCATTTGAAGCAGAAGTTTCTTCATTTTGTCTCTTTGGTCAGGCTGACTGTCTGCAGCGTTGGGGCAGAGGTCACAGGGGTCACAGGGGTCACAGAGGTCACAGGGGTCACAGGGGTCAGCGGCTCTGACCTTCACACAGAGCCCTGCTGATGTTCCTCTGATCTGTTTGTTGTGGAAACTTCTGCCTGGATCGTTTTGTTCTGTAAATAAAGTGATGCTGGTTCAGACGTGGGACTGAGGCTGGATTCACTGAGCTGGGATGAAACTTGTTCTCCTTCTCCTCCTTCTTTCCCAGATTTCCCACAAATGTCAAAATGAGGAAGATGGAGCCTCGTGTATCAGAATGAAGGATCCTGGAGTCAAACAACGACGAACAGAAACGTCCTTCAGTCGAATCTGTCGGTTCATCCAGATGTTTTCTTTCTGTTTAGTTTTGAAGAGTCTGTAGTGAAGTGATTCATGCGAAGTGTAATGTCCTTTAGCAACATGGCTGAGACACCAACAGACCCACCAGGGAGATCAGCAGCAGACAAACCTGGCTGGATTAAAGCAGTAGAGGAGAAACGATCTGTTACTGTGGAATGAGAACCAGCTGGTGGAAATAAATAACTCAGATTACATTTGGCACACACATTCAATACTGTTTTTTGTTTCAGTACATATTTCCTGGAATTTCTCCCCTCCAAATCTGACAGGGCTGCACCACAGCGCCTCCGGTGGTCTGGATGTAGAGAGGATCCGTCCAGCTGCCGCCATGCTGACGATCTGATCCGGTCAGAAATCATCTGATCACATCCTGGACCTTCAGAGCGTGATGACACGTTCATCCTGGGGTTAAACTACAGATCAGGAACAGTTCCAGGAATCTCCAGGAAGTTCTGAATAAATGAGGAATCAAACATCCTGACTGAGAAACAGAAGAGAAACATTTTCTGGTTCTGATCAATTAATAATAATGTGATTATTGATCAAATGAAGCTCAGGATGAGTTCAGGTCTTCTCGCCTCATTGGTTCTGTTGGCAGAAATCCAGACATTGATCTGATCCAAACATCCATCAAGTCCCAGCAGGATGAGCGGGAACACGGAGCGCTTCCCAGAAACTATTTCTCTGGAATGTGGGAATTTTCTGGAGGGGATTTTTTAATCTGCTGCTGATTTTCTACCATCTTTAACGAGATCAGAACAGATTCTCCTCTGGATGCGTAACAACATGCAGCTGTTACGATAAAAATGTTAAACCGATAAAATCTTCAGAGAGCAGAAATGTATTCAGAAGGTCTGAATAAAGTGAAACATCTTTGTTCACCAGTCAGCAGGTCCGTTTGTCCGTCTGAACGTCCAGAACAGGAACCATCAGATCAAACTGGAACCAGTTATCAGTTTGATTCCTGGTTCCAGTTCACCTGACAGGCGCTGATCCTCTCAGCCTCCCATCATGTCAGAACGATCTGAGTTTTATCAGGATTTTATGGGAGGAAAATGATGAAGGCCAAAAGTATTCATACTCCTGACAGATTTGGGTTTAAAGGATCATTTTTATTTCACCGTCATGTTTTCTACTATCAGAAAGTGACATGAAGTCAAAGAGTGACTCAGTGAGAGAGCTGAAGATTAGGGTCATGGTGAAGAGGCCTTCCAATCTCAAACACTCTGAGACCAAAAAGAAATCATCCAAAAACCAGAGTCAGGAAATCTGGAGTTCACATACAGCCAGAGATATTATGGATTAGATTAGGTTAGAATGGCCTAGTCAAAGTCCAGATCTTATCACTTAAACTGATCACAGAACAGGAGAAATGGAGTTAAAGAAACTTCTACAAACTCTGGAGGCTGAATCCAAATGCACTCCACACTTTTCAGATTTGAATTTTGTATTATATTTTAAAAACTAAAATATAATCAGAAATCTGCATTTTTTTTGTTCATGTGGGAAAACAAGAGAATGTAAAAGTCCAGTTTCTGAATAAAGACTGAAGAGTCGGCACTAAACAAATTTATATATCACTACATAAAGAATGTGATAAAATATGAATAAGGTGTGGGGCTGCACAGTGGCGCAGTTGGTAGAGCTGTTGTTCTTGGTTCGATTCCCGGCCACGGTCCTTCTGCATGGAGTCTCCATGTTCTCCCTGTGCATGGTGGGTTTTCTCCAGGTACTCCAGTTTCCTCCCACAGTCCAAAAACATGTCAGGTTAATTGGCCTCTCCAAATTGCCCCTAATTGTGAGTGTGTGTGTGTGTGTGTGTGTGCTTGGTTGTTTGTCTCTGCGACAGACTGGCGACCTGTCCAGGGTGACCCTGCCCCCCACCCAGAACATTTCCAGAGAAACAGAAGCTGGATGATCAGCGCTGTTAGCTCAGAGCTGCTGAAGCTACATGAATAAAAATACTGTTATGAAGTTAACATTATCAAGCTAACATTATGACGCTAATGTTATGAAGTTAACATTAGCAAGCTAACATTATGAAGCTAATGTTATGAAGCTAATGTTATGAAGCTAACGTTCTGAAACTAATGGTATGAAGCTAAAGTTATGAAGCAACGTTACAAGCTAATGGTATGAAACTAATGGTTTGAAGCTAAAGTTAAAAAGCTAACATTCTGAAGCTAATGTTATGAAGCAATGTTATCAAGCTAACGGTAACGGTATGAAGCTAAACTTATGAAGCTAACATTATGAAGCTAATCTTATGATGCTAACATTATGAAGCTAACCTTATGAAGCTAACATTATGAAGAATGTTATGAAACTAACATTATGAAGCTAATGTTATGAAGCTAACGTTCTGAAGCTAACGTTATGAAACTAACGGTATGAAGCTAAAGTTATGAAGCAACATTATCAAGCTAACGGTATGAAACTAACGTTATGAAGCTAACGTTCTGAAGCTAATGTTATGAAGCAACGTTATCAAGCTAATGGTATGAAACTAACGGTATGAAGCTAAAGTTATGAAGCTAACGTCCTGAAGCTAAAGTTATGAAGCTAACGTCCTGAAGCTAGCGTTATGAAGCTAACTGTATGAAGCTAATGGTATGAAGCTAATGTTATGAAGCTGACATTATGAAGCTAATCTTATGAAGCTAATCTTATGATGCTAACGTTATGAAGCTAACGTTATGAAGCTAACGGTATGAAGCTAACAAGCAGAACCTCAGAATCAAACGTGTTCCTGAATTCCTCCCAGCGACGCTGCAGGGGGCGCTGTGGACTCAGAAACATAAATACTGGTGTCAGCAGAGAAAACATGAATTGCTGATATGATCAAACAACGAACAGGAAAAGAAACGAACAATGATGGGAAACACAACAGGTGGAGAAACGATTAAACCACACGTGATATAACTAAAGGAACAGAAAAATGTTCTGTTAAATGTTCTGCTCTCGTCCTGTTGGACCGGTTCTTCCACTGATCACTGGACTCTGAGAACCTGGAAGTAAAAACCTTTTATTCTTTATCAGATTATCACTGACTCCATATTTATAAGGATTCCTTGTGAAGATATTAATGTCTGAAAAACTGAATGGAAATGACCCCATGTGACCTTTAAATGACCTGGAACAGCCAGACATTTTTAGAAATGTTATTTAATATTGAAATATAAAAATATGGAGGTTTTTGCTCAGTGTCACCCAGAAGGCAAGATTTTAAACTCAAAGGAAATAATCAAAGGTTTTCTGTCTGATCTGTTTTGCAGAATGAAAAGAGATTTGGTGAAACAAAAACATTAATTCAATTTGATATGTTATCAATATTAAGATGAAGAAAAAATATTCAGCTGAAATTTCTCTAACCAACCAAACAAAAACACATTTCACACGAAGATGTTGAATCATTAATTCTGTAATGAAACAAAAAGCATCAGAGCCAAATAACAGAATAATAATTCTGGTCGGACTTTCAGTTATGAACAGTAAAAATCCAGAGGAGTTCATAACTGCTTAAGGTTAAAATTATGATGGTTCAATAACAATAAAGCAGCTTACCTCAAAATAAAGTCTATAATCTAATGTGGTCATAAAATCAGACACCAGTCAGTCAACCATCAACTCTGATAATGATGATTCTTCTTTATTTTATCATCATGAAGATTAATCTGCTTCCACTTTTTATTCTGCTTCAGCTGCAGTTCACCTCCTAACCACTAGGGGTCACTATCACAAACCTCTAACACAGCAGAAGAAGAGTCCGTCATCAGTGGGTTCCTAACAGACATTACTGCTCATCTTTGATGAAAGTTTAACTTGGAAGCATCAAATAGAATCAGGTCAAAATAAATGTAAAAAAGTTAATTTGTTGAGATGTCTCTCTGGACGGGAATGAGGAGCTAGAAGTGCAAAGTCTGTCAGGCTCTCATGAGATCTACTCTGGATTATGGGAGTATAGCAGATATGGCAGCTGCTGACCGTCATCTGAGAAAACCTGATAGTGAGCAAACACAAGGACTGAGGATTTGTTGTGGAGCTTTCAGAACATCTTTAGCTGCTCTACAAGTAGAAACTGGTGATTTTTAGATTAAGAAGGTTGAAACTAATGTATATGTACTGGGTGAACCTACAAGGACATAAGTGTGATCATCCAGCTAAGATGGTGCTGAAGGACTGTTGGGAACATCATAAATTAAATTGTAATAGTTTTGGGTGGATTGGGGACATAAAGGCAAAACATCTTGGTTTAACTCTGGTCCAGTGTAGAGCAGCAGTTCCTCAATCTGAAACTCTACCATGGCTAGGATTGGAGTGTGGTCATCAGAGATCTCAGAGGGAATTTAACACTCCTCATTGATGTGCACACACATCAATGAGGAGTGTTAATAAAACACTTTCTCCAGAAGTTGATCTTCAATTGAGGGAAATTCTTAAAAAGGGAAAGACTCCAGATTGGGTTGTAGTTGATAGATATTTTGAGAGATATAAGGACAATATAGTTATATATACGGATGATCTAAAGGTCCAAATAGTGGTAGAACTGGGGCAGCAGTGAATATCACACACCATAAAGTGTTGATTAAGAGAACAGCTGATCATTTAGCTGTTTCTACAGTTGAATTATCAGCCATTATATTAGCCTTAGAATGGTTGCTTGATAATATTAGGGAAGAAATACATTTATTATAGCATCAGATAGTCAAGCAGCATTATTAAGTATAAAATCTTGCAGATGAAATTTAATATTAAGAATATAACAATTATTGGTTCATCCAAATAAGAAATGTTTTGTTTGATTTGTCTGGATTCCTGCTCATGAAGAAGGAAATGAGGAAGTAGATATTCTAGCTAAGCCTTGAAATCAGAAACTGTTCATTTGAATATTCCTTTGAGTAAAAGTGAGGGGAAATTTATTATTCAAAAAGACATTAAGATTTGGCAGGATAAACGGGATAACCATGATTATGGGAGACAGTTATATGCAATTCAAAAGAGTGTGGGATGTAGTAACTGTTTGAGTGGAAAGAGGAAGTAGTTATGACTCGACTTATATTGGGCATTCTGGGATTAACAGTTCTCTCTTTAGAATAGGAAAGCAGGAGACTGGGGCTTGTAATTATTGTAATCAGGTGGAAACAGTGGAGCATGTATTGTTAGAATGTGATGAATACTCAGAGGAACGTCAGCTTTTAAAGTTATTACTAAGCAGAAAGAATATAAGACTGTCTATGATCAATCAGGTAATAAATCAAATTATGTTATAAATCTCTTATTTAGGTTTTTAAATAACACTGGGTTAATTAATCGTATTTAGAATATGTGTAAGTATGTGTGTGTATGCCAGTGCATGCTCATGCATTCATACATGTATTAATGAGTGTTAAGATGTGAATTTGCACAATGTAAAAATCATTGAGGTGTTAAATTCCCTCTGAGATCTCTGATGACCTCACTCCAGACTGGTAGGTGGCGCTAAATGCACCTTAAGTTGGATGCCAGCCGCCAATAACAATCAAAAGAAGAAGAAGAAGAAGAAGAAGAAGAAGAAGAAGACATTACATGTTTCTTTCTCTAGAAAAGTTTTTAAACTGATAAAAACTAAAATTCATCGAGAAACTGAATCTATTGAAGGAGGAGGAGGAAGAGGAAGAGGAGGAGGAAGAGGAGGAGGAAGAGGAGGAGGAAGAGGAAGAGGAAGAGGAAGAGGAGGAGGAAGAGGAGGAGGAAGAGGACGAGAAAGAGGAAGAGGAGGAAGAAGAGGACACTTTCACTGACTTCTGAATCCTTTGATTCTGAAGTTTCTGCGTTTTGACAGTCAAATGTTTGTGGAGGAGGAGTCAGATATTTGACTCCTGCACATATTTCATCCTAAGGTGTTGGTGACCTGCAGAGAGGACTGTAACCCCTGAGCAGAGTCCAGCTGAGCCTGAACCCATCAGGAGGTCATTCCATCACAATCAGGTTTCTGTCCTGAAACAAAGGGACTCATTGTCCTGTTTCCTTTGGTCCAGTTAAAGGCCGCTCCAGCTGCACCCCTCCAGGAAGAAACATCTGCTGCTTCTTTTCATGGTTCAGACTTTTTATTACCACATTCTAAGCAAACAGTGCATAAACAGATGAAATGCTGCAGTAACAGAAAATAATGTTCACAGAAAATTCAAGGCAAAAAATAAAACTTAATACAAAAAATATGAAATGTTTGCAATAACAATAAGCTGCTTAATATCTACAGTGATGAATGACTTTTACACTGAGCTGTTTTACAGAATGCAGTTCCTGAAAGGAACAGCTGAAATGTTAGCCGTTAGCCGCTAGCTGTTAGCCGCTAGCTGTTAGCCGCTAGCTGTTAGCTGGTTCTGGTCTATAGGATGTTCCAGTTTAGCATAAACTGTTGTCAGATTGTTGTCGCTGCTTCCTGATGGTTCTGGAATATTTTCTTCCTGAGGAAAGAAAAACAGGAAACGGGTCAGAGAAACAGCAGGAAGCTGGTTCTGCTGCATCAGAACCACAGAACCAGGCTGTTTATCAGAACCAGTCTGTTTGGATCAGAACCAGGCTGTTTGGACAAACCCAGCAGATCAGCAGGTTCTGCTGTTTCCAGCCCGTTTTCATCTCCAGCCTGCAGAATCTGCAGGTTCTGATCTCTGCATGTTTTCTGATCATATTTCTAATGTAAACAGCGTCTCATGAGTTATTGGTTTATTACTGATGTGTTTGAGTATCGTAGCTCCATCTGCTTCCTGTTCCCAGCAGACGGGTTTTATTCCCGTCTTTGTTCGGCTCCAGGTGTTCAGGTCTCATTATCTGTCCACTAGAAACATGAGCCCTGCAGGCTGGAGTCAGATTGTCTCTGCCTTTGTGTTGATCCAGTTTCAGTTTCTCTGAACTGTACTGGATGATTCTCTGGCTGATTTGCTGCTCCTTTTCATTTAGAACAGCTCTAACCTTTAATCTTTATTCCAGGTTTGGTCTCTAATTTAGAATAACTATAATTATATGTTATTATGAACCATCTGAGCTGAAGCTCAGAGGAACATGGGGACCCATCGGTCTGCAGAGTGACTCGGGTCCCTGCAGCTACATTTAGCTCAGTTTGGCTCTTTAACCTGTTTTTACTTTTGCATTTCACACTTTATCTTTGTGAACAAACATCCTGTCAAACAGAACAGAACAGGATATTTGCTCAGTGATATCTGACACCATCAACATGTTTAACCTTCAGGGAGGGAAGAGAAGCTCGGTTTACGATGCCGTATCCTAGCAACACCTTCAGCCGAGGGGATTTCCACCTGGGCTTTAGATGGTTAAAGCAAAACGACCAACAAACATGACAGCGACAGAATGAAGAGAATAAAAAGTTAAAATCCAGATGGGAATTAATCAACGCTCCTGTTGATATTAATCAAAGCAACCAGGCTGAGGGTTTTAGTCTGGTTTAAAGGAAGTCAGTGTTTCAGCTGTTTTACAGTTTTCTTTAAGTTTGTTCCAGATTTGTGTTACATAGAAGCTGAATGCTGCTTCTCCATCTTTGGTTCTGGTTCTGATGATACAAATTTCTTTATTTTGGGAAAAAATATGGCTGGAATAATAAAAACAGTAGAAAAAGAGTTAACTGAGTTGAAAACATGGTTTGATTATAATAAGTTGTCATTAAATGAAGGGAAAACTAAATTCATGGTATTCTCTGGTAATCGGATCTATAATAACGTAAAGTTAAGCATAAATGGAGTTGAATTTTTAGGAATTATTATAGACAGTAAAGTTGGAAGCCTCACATAGAATATTAGAAATAAAGTTGCAAAAACTATTGGAATATTGTTTAAAATAAAAGATTTAGTAAATGTTAAAGGTCTGCATGTTATATATTCCTCTTTGGTTTTGCCTTATTTGTCTTATTGCTCAGAAATCTGGGGAAATGCAAGTAAAACAAACATTGATGTATTTGTTAAGTTGCAAAAAAAATCTATAAGGTTTATTAATAAGGTGGGAGACCAAGAACCAACTGATAAACTCTTCTTTCAAAGCAATATATTAAAATTTAAAGATTGTTTATATAAAAATAATGGAAATAATGTATAAAACACTGAACAAATCCTTCCTTCTGGTGTTCAGAAATGATTTAAGTTAAGACAGAATAAATATAATTTGTGAGGTTTGTTTATATTTCAATGTGCAAAAGAGAAAAGCCAGATAAAATCTAGAGGTGTTTCAGTGATTGGTGTGAAACTGTGGAATGAATCGAATGATGATTTTAAGTTACGTTCTTTCTTGGTGAGTTTCAAAAAGCTCTAAAATGTAAAATGATAACATCTTACGCTGTTATGTAGGTTTATTTATGCATTGTGAAGATATCTTGGTAGGTTGTTGTATAAAATAGGGCAGCAAGAATAAGTTTGGCTTCAGCCTGTTGCTTTTCTGGAGATTTATAAACTACCAGAACTACTCAGAATCCTAAATCTGAGTCTGAGTTCCTCTGAACCTGGAATGTTCTGCAGCTGGTAGAAGGCCGACTTTGGACCCGACTCTATGT